CGGGCGCCTCACCCGCCGACCCCACCGACCATGAGGCCGGCGGCCTGGGCCGGGGACGCAGCCACGAGTGGGACGGAAGCGGCGCCCTGAGAAGCGGCCTGGCCAGGCGGGGGGAGGGAAAAAGGCAGGAAGGCCCAGCCGAGCCATGGACAACCAGGTGAGGGCAGGGGGCGGGTGCTGGGCAGAGGGGGCGTGGCCCGTTCTCGCTTCCCCGCCCCCGAGAGGGGCGTGGCTGGAGGGAGGGGCAGCAGTGCCCCCCCAAAGAAACACAGGGGGGCGTGGCAGGAGGGGCAGGGCTCGCCCGGACGAGGAGACAGAGGAACCCGCCCCCACGGGGGAGGGGCGTGTTTGAATTGGGGGGAGGCAATGCTCCCTCTCAGTGGTGGCGTCCTGGGAGCAAAAATTCTACTCGGTGAGCCACTGGCGTTAAAGTTGTGAGCGAGCCGTTTGGCTGCTGCATAAATCAGTTTGCTCTGGAGCCCTCCTTCCTGAGCGAAGACAAAAATGGGTGAGCCGGAGGGTAAAGAACCGTGAGCTGGCTCACACTGACTCAGCTTAGAGGGAACACTGGTGTGTGTGTGTGTGTGTGTGGGGGGGTGTTCCCTTCCCCAAACCAGGGGGCTGTGCCTTGCCTTTCCACTCTCTCCCAGCATCCTGGGCCGGGATTGACTTGGGTGCCTCCCCCCCTCGGTGGGGCTTGTACAGGGAAGGAGGAGATGGCTGCTGTTCCTCTGAAACCGCACCCCCCCCCCCAACCCAAGTAAAGTGTGCCCTATGCGTTAGACCTCAGGATCTGTGTCATTAGGGGTGGGAATGGGAATGTGCGTCACCCAGAAGTTGGGAGAAGACGGCTCTCTCCCCCCCCCAAAAAAAAGTACAATGAAATGAGAGGGAGTGGGTTGTTTGAGATGGGGGGGGGTGGGTGGGTAAGAGAAGGGGCCCTGTGTTTGAAGGGCCCTGGCAACGGGAGAAGACCTAGGGAGAGAAAAGGAACTCTTCCTCACCTGCCTGTGGGGGAAAAGGAGATTGAAGATGCACACTTGGTAGGCTGTGTGGTCTCTGCTCAGACGTGAAAGGAAATGGTTGGGGAGGGCCTGAGCTCCTCGCAAAGAGAGGCTGTGGAAGAGGGGAGAAGAGACCTCAGGGTTGACTTGGGAATTTTGCTCCTGTGCTCCTTACGATGGTCCTGCAGCAGCAACCCTATAGGATGTGGGCCATTGTTGCTTGTTTTGCGCCTTGAGGGAGGGAGGGAAAGGTTGGGATTGGCAGTGCCCAGTGCTCCCTCTAAGCTGTGGAGTCTTGTCAGCAAAAATTCTACTGGCATTAAAGCAGTGAGCGATTTGGCTGTTGCATAGATTACTTTGCTCTGGAGCCCTCCTTCCTGAGCTCAGACAAAATGTGTGAACTCACACTAACTCAGCTTAGAGGGAACACTTGCAGTGACCCTTACCTACATTGAATTCGTGGCTGTAGTGAGATTTCAGCTCTGGACTTCCTTACCCACAGCCTGTATTTCTGAACACTTCAGCTCTGTTGACAATAGGAGTACAGTCCTTGGAGCCTTTCACATGGGGGAGCTCAGTAATCCTTACAAGCAGCCCTGTTAGGTTGGCCAGTATTCTGTGGAAAGGAATACATGAAGACAATGGTGACCTTCACTCGAGAACATCTCGAGCAGGGGAGTCCCTGCCTTGTGCTTTTCAGTCCTGCTCTGCTATTGCTTAGTACTCTTTTGACACTTCTAAATGTTCATGATGCTTTTTTCTTATAACATCCCCATGTGATATAAAGGTAAAAGGTAAAGGTTTCCCTTGCTCGAAAGCCAGTCGACTCTGACTCTAGGGATGTGGTGCTCATCTCCGTTTCCAAGCTGAAGAGCCAGCGCTGTCTAAAGACATTTCCGTGGTCATGTGGCCGGCATGACTAGACGCCGAGGTGCATGGAATGCTGTTACCTTCCCACCAAAGTGGTACCTATTTATCTACTTGCAATTCCTATCTTTCGAACTGCTAGGTTGGCAGGATATGGGACCATAGACGGGAGTTCACTCCGTCATGTGGCACTCGGGTCTCAAGCTGCTGAACTACCAACCTTTTGGTCTGCAGTTCAGCATCTTAACCACTTGAGCCACCGCAGTGATATGCCAGGACTCTATTCCTTGTTTTGCTGGAGGAGGATCCGAGGCTGAGAGAACATAGCAGCTTGCCAGCCCCCTGCAGATACAGCCTCCCCCGGTCAGGGTGACACACACTGGTCACTCAACAGCTGCTGAACATCATGTAAATGATGGGATTCTGATTCTCATGAATGCGTGTTTGCTGCTCCTTGTGGCAGCATCACAAGACACCTGTTGTGTCTACATAAATGCACCATTATTGGGTGTGTGGGTGCTACGCCTGTGGTGGGATAGGGTCCTCTACCACCTGTGCACGCCGTCGTTTCCATGTGTGCTGATGTGTCTGCCCGAGGATCTGTTTTGTCAGCTTTCTGAGGTCTCAGGTAGATATGAAGGCTTTCCCAGCCCTAATACTTCAGAATCCTTTTAAACTGGGTGTCCCGGAGACGGGGCTGCCTCGGGTGTGCAAAGCATACGCTCTGCCTTGGTGAGACCCGGATTCAGGGTCAAATGCAACCATATTCCAGCTCCAGAAAGACCATCAAAATAACCAACAGCCTTGTTGGTCTTTTTAAGGCCTTTTGAGCTAGCAGTGGCATTCAGAGATGCGTCTCTGTCGCTCTGCATATAGTTCAGCCAATCTGTTCTTTGCGCAGTCTAGAGGGTGTTCCCTAGAGTGATGCTTTCCTGGACATATTACAGCCCTTGTCTGGTCTTCGAGGCTGTTGGCAATACAAACAGAGGGAAGATTAGATCTCTTCACAGCTTTGGAATTTTTTTGCTTCTGGGGAAGGAATGAAAGGGGAGGAGATAAGGAGCAGTTCCCCTTCCCTCTGGTGTCACAGAGCTCAGCGGGTATGTTTCCAGTGCTCATCCTAAGTGGACTCTCCTCCCTGCTGCAAGGGGATGCTTGCAACGCAAAGCATATTCGGCCTGCCTGGGCCTTTTAGGTGTTCCTTAGACATGCAATTGTAGAGAGAGAAACAGATAAAGTTATGGAGTCTGGTTTTCCTAATGGAGAAATCTGCAGTCCTCTTGAGACCCATGCCAGATCCTGGTGCTTTGATTTTTCCACATGCGCAGTGAGGCACACAGCTTGTGCCTCAGTGGCACTTCAGGTGGCACAGCGGCGCACATGTGAAGGCATTCTTGAGAGCAGGTGGGCCAGTTGCAGACACGGCACACTTCCCAATGTGTAGGATCAGGAGCACGTTGAAGTGACAGGGCAAACTAGTCATGGCACGTTGAGGAGAGGCTGTCGGGATCATAGCAGTCGTCACGATTTGGCGGCTGTTTCTCAGAAGTGACCATGCAGCCCAGGAAGGGGTTCTTCTGAGTCCCAGCAAGAAGAGCCCTGGACTGTTTCCAGTTCACTTGACTGCCTGGTATCCTTCTTCAGGCAACGCTTTCCGCACTGACACGGAACCCCTTGATGTTCAGAGGCATTATGAGGAACTCTGGGTCTTGCTCGAGGGCACAGTTGTGCTCTCCTGAGTGTGCCCTGGGAAGCACGGAGTGTTCTGGAACTACAGGTTGCAGGGGTGCAGTCAGTTTCTCACAGAGGAGTCCCTGAAAGGTTTACAAGGAACATAGCATCCAGGAAACTGAGAGGCCAAGATTTGATCTAGTTAAGAAAGGTTTCACTCTGCAGGCATTGGAAGAGGCTGGAGAACCTATAAAAGCAGACAGTAATAGGCTACATGGATCAGTGGTATGACTCTTGTCTGGAAGCGTGCTGTGTTGGATGGAGCACCAGAGCATCTCCTGTCTACATGTCCTGTTTAGCATTAGACTGCTTTACAAAGATGCTCACGTTTCCATTGCTTCCCCACGCAACCTGCGCATCACATAAAAGTAAGTGGTTAAGCGTGTTTTTGTGTCTCTGAGAGACGATCAACCTGGGATTTGTAATTAACATTGTGCTGTCTTCCCATCACCCACCCCCTGTCGCACTCCTTCCCTTTTCCTTCTAGTGTACGGTCCAGGTGAAGTTGGAGCTGGGGCATCGTGCCCAGCTGCGAAAGAAGCCCACTACCGAGGGCTTCACCCACGACTGGATGGTCTTCGTGCGTGGACCTGAGCAGTTTGAGATCCAGCACTTTGTGGAGAAAGTGGTCTTTCGGCTACATCAGAGCTTCCCGAAACCAAAACGTGGTGAGTGAACATCTGTTTGTGTGTATGGTGGTAGAAAGTGCCCTCAAGTCACAGCTAACTCAGAGCGTCTTCTTAGAGGCAAGAGACAAACATGTGGCTTCCCATTACCAGCCTCTGTGTAGTGACCATGGCCTTCTTGGCTTCTGGGATCTGATGAGATTAGGCTAGCCTGGATGACTGCGTAGCATAATCCAGGGCAAGTGCCAGCAGCTGGTTGGTGTGAAGATTCCTGTCTACGTCAAGAATCTTGAAGAATGAACCATGCCTTCCAGTCTTATTTTGTTGCCAGAATACCCACATTCTTGCTTCCTGATCAGACACCTTTGTGGAGGATACTTCTACCGATGGCTTCTAGCCACACTTGCTAAGTGACACCTCCAGTTTGGGAGGCAGTTCACCTCTAACAGCCATAGAGATGTGAAGGCCCGGAAAAAAACTGGAAAAATTTGGGGGAAAGATTCCCTCCCCCCCCTGTTTTTTTCCTGAAGCCTTTTTTTGTTTTTTCCCTCTGAAAAATTGAAAAAAGAAAAGAAAAAAAATTGATTATGGAAAATTTATTTTAACATGATGAATAAGATATTTTAGGACAAAGTGTTCAGATATTTTCCAAATCATTTCTAAAAAATATGTATGGTATCAGATTGAGCTAATTTCTGTGCACTGAGGACAAGCAAGTCCTAGGTTACAAACTGAACCCTCCAATGCAGGAACAAGATGCATTTCTTCCTTTAGGAGGTGCTATTGTCACAAAAAAAGAAAAAGGTTTCAGTTTTGTTTGGGTATTCTGTTTGTAATAATTGTTTGGATATACTATATTTTAATATGCTAGTTATAATTTCATGCCAAGTAAAAATGTCCATAGTCATATTTTACATTGCTAAAGTAACAGAATGACTTTCAATCTGGAAAAGAAAAAATGGGGGGGAAACGGGGTTTTTTTCTCGAGCTTCAAAATTTCTGGAAATTTTACATCTCTAGACAGCCAGAGTCGTGGGAGCAAACCAAGAAGGAGGCTACTGCTTTCAGGTCCCGTTTATGGGCTTCCAGAGGCATTTGGCCACCCGTTACTGAAAACTGCCTCCTGGATGTTTTCCAGCAGGGCTCTTTAGATACTCTTTGTGGTGGCGTCAGTCACCAGTTGCCATCTCTTTTATTTTGCAAAGTAAATGTTCCATCATGTGGTGATGACTATTTCCTTTCCCCATTGCCTGTTTTCTCTCTTCATATGGTAGCATTGCTTAGTATTCATAAAGGGCTTTTGAGTGTCTACTTTGCATATGTTGTCTCGCCAAGGTCCTTGCGACAGCCCTGTGAGGCCAGTTAGTAATACCGTGCTGGTGTTGCTGCCGTGGGGTTGTGGGGACTGAAGAAGGGAGCAAAGGGATATGCTAGCAGCCCCCTCAAGTCTGTAGGCAAAACCTGCTTTCCTCGTATTTGCTCCTTGCTTGGGCTGTGGACCCAAAGCTCAATGCCATTCCTGATTTCTTCTCAGTCTGCAAAGAGCCCCCATACAAAGTGGAGGAGTCCGGCTATGCTGGTTTCATCATGCCCATTGAAGTCCACTTCAAAAACAAGGTAAGTTGATCACCCCCCCCCCCTTCAAAAGTGAACTGGCCAGGCGGTATCTCAGATTTGGCTTCCAGCAGTCCCACTTAAGTCAAGGTGTGCTGAAAAACACATCAGATATTGTGCCCTGTCTCCTGCTTGGAGAAACAACAAAGAAGCGTGGCAATTGCATGCATTCTGTATCGCTTTCTTCACGTTGGTTACTCACGTGCAGTCTGGAAAAGCAGCTAACTTATTCTTCCCGCTAGCCCCAGTCTTGCTTTTTGATCTAGGTGATTTACTGCCCTCCCAAAAGTACCCAAAGCTGCTTTGAGATGTAAAATGCTACCAGTAAACAATCAAATTGCAGTCATGAATAAATGACCAGGTGAACAGCATCAGTCAAACATCAAACTGGCACCAGTGAGAGATGCTTTGCAAACTGAGCAGTGCCTCAGTTTCTTTCCATGCCGCCATAATCGCTTACATCTTAGCACCCAAGTGTGCGATGGATATGCTTTCCTGTTGTGTGAGCCAGGTGTCTGTCAGTGCATGGGATTTCTGCTTTCCTATCTTAGTTGTGAGTCTAGGTATGTTGGGGGACGACGACTGCTCTTTGGTTTTTAATCTTACCTTTTTTTAAAATGACTATTTAATTGTGACCTCTGGCACCTTGTGGCTCTGTTTGGATTAAACGGTAGGGTGGCCATTTGTCTGGAAGACAGAATGGAGAGTGAGTCTTGGGAAGTGTTTTGGAAGGCGGTCCCTAGAAGGGAAATGGCACCTCCAGGTTCAGGAGCAGTCTACCTCCAAATAGTAGGGGATGGGAGTTTGAGCTTGCACATCTAACGGCAAACGCTTCACAAGACTTTTGCCGCTCTCTGTTACAGGAGGAGCCCAGGAGAGTTTGCTTCACCTACGACCTCTTCCTGAACCTGGAGGGGAACCCACCCGTCAACCACCTGCGCTGTGAGAAACTGACATTCAACAACCCGACGAGGGAATTCCGACGCAAGCTGATCAAGGCTGGAGGAGTGAGTGTCAGAGATCCCTCCCCCCAGCCCCCATCTCCTTGTACTGTCCTCTAGCTGTCCTGCATTTTGGTTCATGAAGATATGAAACGGTACTATACCAAGGCAGGACCCAATACTAGCTGAGCATCGTCTTCTCTGACTGGTAGTGGTTGTATGGGATTTCAGGTGAAGAAAGGTCTTTCTCGACATGGAATTGCTTTCAATGGCAGATCCAAGGATTGCATATAGAACTTTTAATGTGTAGTGCCACTGAATTGTAATTGGTCAGTGCCCAGGAACTGGCAGATTTTTAGGATGTCCTTTGACTGTTACTGGAACCAGAGCCTTATTCACACCAGATGTAATCTGGATAACAGCTGCATTCACTAGATAAATACAGCCTCAATGCACTTCAATATGCTTTAGTGTTGCTTGATCGACTATAATGAAGTAGAAAAGAGTAAGAGTCCAACAGCACCTTAAAGACTAACAACATTTGTGGCAGGGGAGGAGCTCTCATGAATCACTAGCTCACTTCTTCAGATACAACTATATGATACCTGTCCTATATGTTGGAAAGTGGAGTGATTTCAGATGCTGAATTACATTAGTAGGCAAATGACAATAGAAGATGGGATTGGTTTGGGTGTGATATGCAGGGAGGTAGTCAACGTGGAGAAATCAATATTGCTAATCCAGATGGTTGCATTGTCTTAAACTATGTTATCCGTTGCAATTCAGCAGTATCTATATATCTAATAGCGAAGGCGTGCAGATATCTAAATCCGCACATCGGGGGCACCTGGGGGGCAGGGAGATTTTCCTGCACACTTGGGGCAGTCCCCAGGTGTGCACAAAAATATAAAAAGTTGAAAAAAAATATATGGGGGATATTTAAATCCCCCAAAAGTATAAGAGCCTTCCCTGCACATGCACAGGGAACGCTCTGGGAACTCTGTGGTGGGCTGGCGGTTGGAAGCTGCTCAGGCCTGGCTGCAGGAGTGGGGGGAGGGAGGAGGAGATCGGCGGAGGAGGAGGAGACCGCCAGAGCCGGGGGTGGAGGGGGGAAAGGGGAAGAAGGAAGCCGCTTGGGCCTCTCTGCCGGAGCGGGGGGGGGGGAGGGGACGGGACTTATGTCCATTAATTCTTTGTAGAAAGAACTTGCCTGTTTGTCCAGTGTAGAGAGTGGAAGGGCATTGCTGACACATGAAGGCATAAATCACATTGGAGGATGAGCAGGAGTAGGAACCTGAAGATGGTCTGGCTGATGTCGGTGGGTCCAGTGATGGTGTTGCTGGGATCTATATGAGTCAAACAACAAACACATACACTGCAAAAACCTCTTTTATAAGTTAAAGTGTTCTATATGTTCCACCTTATAAAGCGCATTGTGTATTATTCATAATATTCTAAAACAGGTATATATTCATTACATGCAATATCCACTGTACAATCTAATAGCTACCAGTCAATTTACATCCTTTTTACACAATCAACCCCAACGGGAGTTTCTAGAATTGTACATCCGCTTCTCCTTGCTTGAAAGTCTTCTAAAGGGGGAAGTTTCCTTTTGTGGTTACATTGAAGTTTAAATTGATGTTTGTTGCTGGTCCTACAAAAAGCCCATTAAGCAGCTAACAATCATAGATGGAGCGTTCCTATCTTTCTCAAGGCTGCCTTGCAGTGTATATATTTGTTGTTTGACTCTTCTAACACTGCAGCTCGAGTTTCCACAGGGATCTATATGAGAGCAAAGTTGGCATCTTGGTTTGTTGCAGGCCTTGGTATCAGAGTCCATGTGACTGTTAAGTAGTTTGTCCTTGTGGCAGGTGAGAAGTTGTTTTAGGTTATCAGGCCGTGTGTAAGCAAGAAGAGGTTGGCCCTCCCGGTGCCTGTGTGAGGGAAGCGTCACTATCCAGCATGTTGTTGTTCAGTCGCACAGTCGAGTCTGACTCTTCGCGACCCCATGGACCAGATCACGCCAGGCCTTCCTGTCTTCCGCCGTCCTCTGAAGTTTGCTCAACTTCATGTTCGTTGCATCTATGACACTGTCTAACCATCTCACCCTTTGCCGTCCCCGTCTTCTTTGACCTTCAATCTTTCCCAGCATCAGGGTCTTCTCCAGGGAGTGCTTCCTTCTCATTGGGTGGCCAAAGTATTTGAGCTTCAGTTTCATTACCTGGCCTTCCAGGGAAAAGTCAGGGTTGATTTCTTTTAGGATTGACTGATTTGATCTTCTTGCAGTCCAAGGGACTCAAGAGTCTTCTCCAGCACCATAGTTCAAAAGAATCTATTCTTTGGCGCTCGGCCTTCCTTATAGTCCAACTCTCGCAGCCATACATGACTACTGGGAATACCATTGCTTTGACCATGCGGACTTTTGTTGGCAGGGTGATGTCTCTACTTTTTATCATGCTGTTGAGGTTCGCCATCGCTTTCCTCCCAAGGAGCAGGCGTCTTTTAATTTCATGGCTGCTGTCACAGTCTGCGGTGATCTGGGATCCCAGGAACGTGAAGTCTGTCACTACTTCCAGGACTTCCCCTTCTATTTGCCAAGGAGTGGTGGGGCCGGATGCCATGATCTTAGTTTTTTTGATGTTGAGCTTCAAGCCCACTTTTGTGCTCTCCTCTTTTACCCTGAGTAAGAGGCTCTTTAGGTCCTCTTCACTTTCTGCCATTAGAGTGGTATCGTCTGCATATCTGAGGTTGTTGAGCTTT